AGCTCTTGTAGACCAGGCTGGTCTCCAACTCACAGAGATCCGCCTGCCTCTACCTCCCCGAGTGCTGGGATTAAAGGCGTGGGCCACCACCGCCCAGCCCGAGCTGCTACTTCTTTGTTTTGTTTGGAGAAAGTTGTTACCACAAGCCTTATCAAGAGATTAATTCCGATGGAGAAATCCAGGAGAGTGGCTGCCTCTGCCAGGGTGGAAAAGGGCAGCCCCAAACTGAACTGATACAGGACTTATACATAATTTCTTAGGGGTAGACTTCTCCCCTGCCCGCCCCCCCAGACAGGGTTTCTCTGGATCTTTGGAGCCTGTCCTGGAACTAGCTCTTGTAGACCAGGTTGGCCTCAAACTCACAGAGATCTGCCTGCCTCTGCCTCCCGAGTGCTGGGATTAAAGGCGTGCGCCACCATCTCCTGGCACTGGTTCTGGATTTTTAAGAAAGAATGTAAATAATTTGCTGATAGATTAAGGTAAAATATGACAGAGCAATTGAATGTTTGACTTCTATGTGCTTTTTAAAAACACCCTTAATTGCATTTTTAAAAAAAGATTTTTTTAATTGCATGCATTTGTGTGTATGTGTGCATACATGTGCATTCATACCATGCTAGGATAAGGAATTTAGAGGACAATTTGTAGGAGTTGGTTTCTCATATTGTTAGCTTGGCAGCCAGCGTCCTTTCCCCTGCTCCATTTCAACAGCACAGCTTTGATGTGTATTGGTTGGAGGAGGTCATTGGAAATCATGCATTTTGTGTGGTGTTGGTGGTATGTTCCAGCTTTTTTTTTTTTTTTGAGATAGGGTCTCACTGTGTAGCCCCTGGCTGTTCTGGAACTCTCTATGTAGAGCAGGCTGGCCTCAGACCCACAGAGATCCATCTATCTCTGCCTCCCAAGTGCTGAGATTAAAGGTGTCATTACCACCTCACCTGGAAGTCCAGTTATCTTCTAGATGGGCTGGTGGGAACTAAAGGCATTCTTCTCTGACTTAGTGCGGGCATAGGACTCTCCCAGAAGGTAAACAAGTAGGGCCTGACACTGTAGGCCTTGGGTGGAGGGGCAGGACTGGCAGACATTTCTAACTAGCAAGTAGAGGGTAGGCAGGCTAGGATCCGTGGCCATAACTGAAGTAGCCAGGGCAGCAGATGTTAAATATTGGCTGCCGCAGGGTTCAAACACCAGCCTATGCTTGGCCATTTGGGCACGAGGCTCTCTGAGGAAGGCCTGTAAGGGTCAGGAAATAGGAGGCACTTCCTGAGGGAAGTGATTCTGGCACCCTGATCTTGTCACTGGCTTCTCTCTGCAGACAGTTTTGCCTCGGTGCTGAGCGCAGGACGATGACTCGACCCAACGCCCTGGATCGATGCCGAGGGAAACTACTGTCGCACAGCCTGGTACAGGCTGGGGACGGGAAGGAAGTAGGGCGCCTAGCTGAGTTCTTCTACTCATATTCTCTTCACCCTTCCAGAATCTGATGGCAAAGCAGGGACTGCAGCTTTTACGGGGCCGGAGGCAGAGCAACATGCAAAGGAAGTTGACCCTGGCCAAGAAGCTCCTGGCAAAACTGCATTTCCTGACTCAGGAGGTGATGTCTTGCCCACCACAGTTTCCTACTCTACATTAACTCCCCCTCCTCTAGGTCTGGAGACCTTTGGACGTGTGGAGCAGCTGTCTTTTGTCTGGTACCAACATGTTGCCTGCTCCATGTGGAAGTCGGGGTGAGGAAGTGAGGGATCAGTCAGGATCCAGAGTTTGAAGGACAGTTGACCGACTTGCCGTGGGTGTGACCTCCCGTGTTTGGTACAGTGGCTAGCTGGGATGGATGAGGAGAAGCAGTGCTTTGGGACACTTTCTGGCCCAGCACCTGCTTGAGTTATCCCCTTGGGAGCAGGTCTGCGCCATTTACAGGCAGATAACGGAGGCTGACTTCCAGCCGTCGTGGCACAGCCGGTTAAGCAGCAGTAGGAAGGAATCCAAGCACATTTGATAGCTGGAGTTTGGTGTGATAGAGAGGATGGATGCCCACATGTGCAAATGCCCAGGGCTGGGAGGCTTGGGCAGGTGGAACCCAGCATGGGAGGAGCAGGAGAGAAAAGTCACTAAACTGAATCTTAGAGCAGAATTAATCTCCCTTCCCTTCATCCTCTGCTTTCCCTCCTTCCCTCCCTCTTCTCCTTCCCTCCCTCTCTCTCCTTCCCTCCATCTGTCTCTCCTTCCCTCCCACCCCCTCTTTCCTTTCCTTTGTCCCATGGTAAGCATGCTTTACCACTGAGTCACACCCCTGTCCCGTCTTTAAAATTTGTAATGAAACCTCCCTTTGTCAAATGACAGTTGAGGACATGAATATGCATTCTGTCTAGTTTCATTGTTTTTTTTTTAAAGTTTATTCATTTTATGTGTATGAATCCTTTGCCTGTGTGTATGTTTTTTGCACCATGGTCATGCTTGGTGTCTGTGGTCACAAGAGGGCATCAGATCCCTTGGGACTGGAGCTACAGATGAATGTGAGCCACCATGTGGGTGCTGGAGACAGAATCCAGGTCCTCAGCCCTGAGCCAGCTTGCCAGTCAAAGCTTTGTTGTTACGTGTTGTATTATTGTTTTCGTTGCGGTTATCAGGAACCGGACCCTCAGTTGGAAATGGGGAGTTTGTGTCCAGTGGGTGCTGAGTTTCTGCTTTGTGAGATGGTAAGAGTTCTGGAGATGCATGGCTGTCAGCACAACTGTGAATGCCCTTAACACCGCTGAACTGTAGACTTCAAAATGATGCGGACAGAATGCAGAATGCTGTGTGGAGACATTAGGTGGTCTTAGAGTCTGAGGTGCCCTCTGGTGCTTCCAGGAGGAGCGGTCAAGGAGCAGGTGACCACAGGGCCAGGGGTTCAGGAAAGTCAGGCCATTTGAACTACCCATACAGCCTAAGCTTAAGGCCCAGGGAGTATCAGCTCCAAACTCCCAGGTAACCCTGCCCTCCGCTTGCAGCCACAGCCACCCCTCCCTGATGTGCTGGTCTGGATGTTCAGCGGCCAGCGCCGTGTGGCCTATGCCCGCCTCCCTGCCCAGGATGTGCTGTTCTCCAAGGTTGAGGAGGAGCGAGGCCGGGACTGTGGGAAGATCCAGAGCCTTCTACTCACAGTGAGGCGGGTCTGGGGTAGAGGTGCTGGTGACAGAATGGGGGTTATAAGCAGGTCAGGGCATCAGAGGTGGTGGCCTGTGGCTCCCAACCAGGAGCTCCCTGACTGTTTCCAACTGTCCAAAAGGACAAAAGGAGGTTATGGCTTTGTCCAGGTCAGCTGAACAGCAAACTTGTCTGCCCTGGGCCTATGCTGGCCCTTTGGCTAACGAGACTGACACACAGACAGGGTAATGAGGAAGGAGAGTGACCATTCTTGTAAGCAGAACTGGATTACAGACAGAAAATTTCCAAATGAGCTATGTCTGGAAAAGATACTCAAGCAGGTTTCTAATGATGAGAAGCTTTGACCTGCATACGGAAACTGCCTTTTCATTTGCTGGCCACACAAAATAATCACACAAAAACTATATTAATTACAACTCTGTTTGGCCGATGGCTCAGGTGTATTTCTAGCTAGCTCTTATTGGGTGGTTATATGGCATCTCTCTGGCTCCGCCTTCTTTCTCCCTGCATTCAGTTTAGTTTTCCCACCTATCTATATTCTGCCCTACCATAGGCCAAGGCAGATTCTTTATTAACCAAAGGTAATAAAATATATTCATAGCATACAGAGGGGGAATCCTACACCAGTGACCTTTGGAGTAAAGGACAGAGAATTTAAATGTGTTGAGGATAGAGGGGACAAAGGAGAGAGGACAGATTATGAATCTGGGGTTAGAGCTGTGTGTATAGGAAGTAGGCTGGTGTGAGGTGTGTGTTGGGATGGAGGGAATGAAGAACAACAGAAACAGAGGGCCTGTTTCCTGTACTGGGGAGCTTGGGTACCATTTGGCAGAGAGATTTGGGGCATGCTTTGGGAGGTCCAACATGCCTCCATCCTGCACAGGCACCTGGGGCCGCCCCTGGTGAGGTCTTTGCCAAGCTGGAGCTCTTTCTGTGGCTGGGACTGGCCAAGCAAGCCAAGGCCTGCACCTCTGAGCTGCCCCCAGATCTTCTGCCTGAACCCTCAGCTGGGCTGCCGCACAGCCTCTACCGGGACGGTGAGTATAGGGCCAGGGGACAGTCAACCTTGCTATTTGTCCTCCATGGGGGCTCATGGGTTGGGAAACTCCAGTGGTCCCCTGAACAAGCATGGCCCCTTCCTTTTCCTCATCCCAGACTTTAGCTACTTCCAGCTGCGGGCTCACCTGTACCAGGCCCGGGGTGTGCTGGCAGCAGATGACAGTGGCCTCTCGGACCCCTTTGCACGTGTCCTCATCTCTACCCAGTGCCAGACCACACGGGTGAGGGCCAGGATGGGGCACAGACGGAGGGGAGCACTCTTGTCCAAGGTCCTAAGTTTCTCTTTCCATTTTGGGTGTCCAGCACAGGGCACTAGGTAGGACCAGGTTCTGACTCAGACAGTGGAGAACGGGAAACCATTGTTTCCTGGTGTTGACTTTAGGGCTACGGCAGGAGGATGGCAGATGACCACAGGGAGACACCAGAGCTGGACACCCATGCCTTTGGTAGCAAACAGTTAAAGCATCTCTTTGACTGTCCGCTGGCGTGTGTAGAGGGTCCCCTTCTGATCTGCCTTTACCTCTTTTTCTGCATGGTTCTCAAGGTCTTGGAGCAGACACTGAGCCCCCTGTGGGACGAACTCTTGGTGTTTGACCAGCTGATTGTGGATGGCAGGCGGGAACTCTTGCAGGAGGAGCCTCCACTAGTGGTCATCAACGTCTTTGACCACAATAAGTTTGTAAGTGTGTCCCCTCCCTGCACCCCATTTCCAGCCTCTTCATCCCTACTGTCTTGATGCCTCCCCTTTAACTTCCAAGCATCTCATCCCCCAACATTTATTTTTGAGATAAGGTTTAGCTATGTAGTCCTGGCTGGCCTGAAACTCATAGAGGTTACCATCTTTGTTTCCTAAGGGCTGGGATTAAAGATGTAGCCACCACAACCAGTTATATCGCATTTCCTCCCCGCTTTGCTCCCACAGGGCCCTTCTGTGTTCCTGGGCAGGGCACTTGCAGCCCCAAGGGTAAAGCTGATAGAGGACCCATATCAGCGCCCGGAGCTACAGTTCTTCCCGCTGAGGAAGGGATCACAGACTGCTGGAGAAGTCATCGCTACCTTTGAACTCATTGAACTGGACTACAGTGGCCGCTTCGAGGTTAGAATGCTCTGGTCTGGCTAGCAGGATGTACACATCCTTATTCATCAGGCCGTGCAGTCTCAGGGTGTCCCAAGGGTAACCGTCTAGTCTCTTTCCCAAGAGACTGTGTCTCTAGGGTTCTCTTGGGGTGACCTCATTGTACACCCTGACCCCACAATTATAGATCGACACATCCAAGGCTTCTCTTGCCAGGATTCGACCCCTAGAGAATCCAGACTGCTGTTCATCCTGGGTTTATCCTTCGTGAACGCCTCAGGCTCCCGCACCACTTTCTGTACACACGTCTGCTTTCTGGGAAATCCTTCCTATACGTCCAGCCTTGTCTGGCTGTCCTGCATTTCTGCTTCACAGAGACTGTCTTAGCGAGGGTTTCCAGTGCTGTGAGGAGACACCACGACCATGGCAGCTCTTATACAGGAAAACATTTTATGGGGTGCCTTACAGTTTCAGAGCTTTAGTCCATTAGCGTCATGGTGAGACATGGCGGCGGGCAGGCAGACATGGTGCTGGAGCTGAGAGTCCTTACTTCTTAACTCACAGGCCACAGGAAGTGAACCATTCACTGGGTGTAGCTTAAGCATAGAAGACCTTGAAGTCCACTTCCACAGTGACACACCTCCTCCAACAGCAAGGCCACACCTCTCATTAGTGCCATTCTCTTTAGGGGCCATTTTTTTTTAACCCACCACAGAAACCCATGACCCATCCCTAAGCCTAGGCTTTCTCTGTTTTGACGTGAATTCTGATTTATTTTATTTATTTTTTAAAGATATTTATTTATTTATTATGTATACAATATTCTGTCTGTGTGTACGTCTGCAGGCCAGAAGAGGGCACCAGACCTCATTACAGATGGTTGTGAGCCACCATGTGGTTGCTGGGAATTGAACTCAGGACCTTTGGAAGAGCAGGCAATGCTCTTAACCTCTGAGCCATCTCTCCAGCCCTGATTTATTTTTTCTTATAGCCCTCAGTGCCTAGCGATGTGGAGCCCCAGGATCTGTCATCTCTAGTTCAGCCCATCTCGGGACACCTGGCCCTGCCTCCACACGTGCGCCCTGTGCTCAGGGAGTTCCGTATTGAGGTAAAGACAAGCTCGCAAGGCCTCTTTTCCCTTCCCCCAACCTGGAGGACCCATGTCAGATTCAAGCCCTTGAGTCTCCCCCTTCCCAACCTTAGGTGCTGTTCTGGGGTCTGCGAGGCCTGGGTCGTGTGCACCTGTTTGAGGTGGAAAGGCCCCAGGTTGTTCTAGAAGTGGCCGGGAGACGCCTGGAGTCTGAAGTTCTGGCCAGCTACCGCGAGAACCCTAACTTCACAGAACTTGTCCAGCATGTGACAGTGGTGAGGAAAGGCCGGGACACGGGCTGTGGGCAGAGGCGAGAAGCAGGCAGAAGGTAGTGAGGTCCAGGTGAGGAGGGAACAGAACTCGGACTGTGGGCCGAGGCGTGGAGCAGGCAGAAAGTAGTGAGGTCCAGGTGAGGAGGGGCGGGGACACGGGCTGTGGGCAGAGGCGGGAAGCAGGGAGTAGGTAGTGAGGTCCAGGTGGCTATGCTACGCTGATCAGGAGCAGCGTTCTCCATTAAAGACTGTTTGAGGATTTTATCTGCAATTGTTCAGCTTCGCTGCTATAGGGGAAACAGTAATAGACAGAGTAGAAATGACCACAACTGTGTTCTGATAAAACCTACAAAAGCTGGCAGTGAGAGCCATGAACATGGCTGTGGTTCCCTGACCTCTGGATTAACCTGTAGACCGGCAGCATTCTCTTGGCTCTGTTGAATGGAAGGATTAGCCAAAGTCCTGAATGATAAATAAGAGAAAATCCCTCCAGTCTCTGAAATACAGGCATGAGAAGGGAAAGACAGTCTGGGGCTTCAGAGACGGCCCAGCCACTAAGAGCCAGCGCTGCTCTTCCAGAGGAAACGGGGCCCTAGCAACCACATCACTGCAGCTCCAGGGTCTCTGACACCGCTGGCCTCTCTGGGCACCTGTCTTCTGTACATGCCCCACAAAGACACACATGTACACACACACATAGTTTAAAATAAAATAAATATTTAAAGCATGAAAAATATGGTATATTTTAAAAAACGATTTAATGATTTTTGAGGGGTAGGTGTTGGAGTCAGAACCTTCCACGTGGAGACTAGCACCCCACTCTGGACTGTCCCTCACGTGGAGACTAGCACCCCACACTGGACTGTCCCTCGCGTGGAGACTAGCGCCTACCACTGGATTGTTTCTCACCCTGTGTGGTCTCTATTATGATTGATGGGTTTGGGGGTCAAATTCTGGCAATACAATTTAGGGTCTCATCAAATTTGTCCTTTTGGTTTTATTTTATTTTGAGACATGGTAGCTTTGACTGACCCGGAACTCACAATGTGGCCAGGCAGGCCTCAAACGCTGCCTCCTGAGTGCTGGGATTAAATATGTCTGCTCCCATGCACAAATTATTTATGTTATTCTGTTCTCCTGTTACTTATTTACTGTTTGAGCCAGGATCTCACTATGCAGCCCAGAACTTTAGATCTTCTTTTTTTTTTTAAATATTTATTATGTATACAATATTCTGTCTGAATGTATGTCTGCAGGCCAGAAGGGGGCACCAGACCTCATTACAGATGGTTGTGAGCCACCATGTGGTTGCCAGGAATTGAACTCATGACCTTTGGAAGAGCAGGCAATGCTCTTAACCACTGAGCCATCTCTCCAGCCCTAGATCTTCTTGCTGTAGCCTTTTATATTACTGGGATTACAGCTGTGAGCCCATGCTTAGGTCCAAAGCAGTATTTTTCTCCCCTTCTATTCTTTCCTGCCCTCTCTTCTCTCCTCCCCTCCCCTCCCCTCTCAGGTGGAGGTCAGAAGACAACTTTGTGAGTTAGCTCCCCCCTCCACCTCTGCATGGGTCTCAGCCCTCAGTCCCCCC